TCTAATCCAGTCCCCTTCTAGAGTAGCTTCGGCTGGAGCAGGTTGCACAGGATGATATCAAGATGAATGTTGAGTATTTCCAGAGAAGGAAAACGCATAGTCTCACTGAGCAGCCTGTTGCAGTGCTCAGTCACCCTCACAGCAAAGCAGTTTTTGCTCATATTGAGGTGTAACTTACTGTGTTCTCCTTCTCCTATCACTGGGCACCACTGGAAAAGTCTGGTCTCATCCTTTTGACAGGCACCCTTGAGGTATTTGTCTGTATTGCTAAGATTCCATCTCAGTCATTTCTTCCCCAGGCTAAAGAGGCCCAGTTCCCTCGACCTTTCCTTATAAGAGAGGTGCTCCAGTGCCCTCATCATGTTTGTAGCCTCTGCAGGACCCTCCCCAGCCCTTCCTTGCCTGTCTTGAGCTGGGAGCTCAGACCTGGAGCCAGTACTGCAGATGTGGCCCCAGTGGGGGAGAGCAGAGGTGGATGATCACCTCTCATCCTTCTGGCCACTCTCCTCCCCATGCACCCCATGATATTGCTGACATCCTCAGCCCCCAAGGCACTGCTGCCTCTTGGACCCCTTGTTCTCCACCTGGAGCCGCAGGTCTTCCTCTGCAGCAGGTCAGCCCCAGCCTGTGGGGTGCTGTGAGAAGCTGATTTAGTGCGAACACTGCTTATAGCAGCAGCTGAAGCATCACTGTGGGATCGACATGATTCTCATCCTAAATGCAGAATAAAGCACTGTACCAGCCGCTAAGAAGCAGGAATTATCCTAGGAGAAACCAGGACACCCGCTAGTGACATCAACTTACAGAAATGGTCAGGTCTAAGAAATAGAACTGGGCTGTTTCCAGAGCCTTAATCCTTCATCAGAGGGAGTTTAGAAAATGCATTTGATGCAGTTAGGTTGTGTAAACCACATTCTTGGAGTTAAAGCAAGTGTCTGTTACAGCATGTCCTATACACAGCATGCCCTTAAATCACAAATATTTACGTTCCACAGGACTGTGGATACTTTGTAGTGCTCTGGACAGTTGTCAGCAAAGTTGACAAAATCAGGGAGTTGGGGCTGGAAATTTTGCTGTGTTAACCTGTGGACTGCAAACTCTGATAATAAAATAACAAAAAGAAAATACGAGCCCACCCGCAGCTGCCCCTGCCCTCCCTGGTACCTGCCCCACTTCCCCCTGGGCCCAGCCAAACTCTTCATCTTCTCAAGCACCCAAGGAGTACCCGCAGTCAGGGTTCCCAGAAACTAATGGGAAAAATTCTATAGGTGAAGAGGGACAAAAGCAAGGACACCTAATCCCCAACAAACAGTTGCTACAGATACTTGTTAGGAAGTGTCTTTGCTTTGGAGACGTTTGTATTTTAGATACCTGTGCTGATAGGTGGTGGGAGGTGCACATTTCTGCCCTGGTGATTAGCTCAGTTTGGGTGGTCATGCACAATCAGCACTTTGGATGAAGACTGATGGCACTTTAGTAGAAGAGATATTTGCTCAAGACATGAATTATATCTTTTCATATATTAAGACATAAAATACCTGATTAAAGACATACATTATATGTCTTTAATTATAAAAAGTGATGATGTCATCCAAGAAATGTGTGTAGTCTATGTACGTAAACTTTTGTAAGAAAGCAAATATTGATACTACTGAAACAATTAGTTATTTTATTTGCTTACCTAGTAGAAACTCAATGCAGGCAGTCTGATTTTTCTGAGGCATGGTGTCATAAATTATAATATTAGCTTTTGGTCTATTAAAACATGGTCATATGAATGAGGATTAGCTCAAGATTTTAAATGTATACAGTCTATGGGTACCCCCAGTTTTACAGCTATATTTTGTCTGTTTCAGATTTTGCAGAAATTGATTAGTTATTGTCAAAGCTGAGATTTTTGTGGTTCAGTGCTTTAAATTTTTTTTTTTCTTTTTTTCATTTTTTTTTGGTTCCATGTCAGATTAAACTTACTTGTAGGTGGCTGTAAGGTTTTCTCCATTAATAAACTTGTATTATTCTCATTGCTGGTTTCCTTTCGAAGGCATCAGTGGCTGACAGGCAGTGATCTTTCGCCAATCTTGGCAACAGACTGTTGCTGTGGTAGAGGTATTGTTCACTAATGGAGACTTGCTTTCATAAAATAATGTAGAATTTGTAGAGCATTCCTTCTTCTGCATTTGCTTTGCTGCTTTTTGAGCTTGTATTTTTAATTTAATCACAGTTTCTTAAGTAGACAATGTAGGAGGCCTGTTTGTAATTGAGTCTCGGTAATTAAAAGAGAGGAAAGGAAACAAGTACATAAATGCACTTGTGTGATCCCTTTTTATTATCTGTGTGGCTTTCGAGCTTGGCTTCCTGTTCCTGGTAATAATTTTTCCTGTTTCATATTTACCTGGCAGGTAAACACAGTTTTAGCTGGTGAATTATATGCTGTCAAAATTGAGAGGAATTAACTCTTGGATTTCAATCAGTGACCTGTTACTGCATTTATTTTTTTCCAGAACTTTTCCTGTGATACTGTTGTAACATAAACATTTGCCTCCAGATGGTATCCCAAACTTTCCCAGGGTTTGGGGGAGTTGGTGGCTGCCAGGTAGTTTCCCTGGCTGTATGGCAGGACCCTTCTTTCCCAGTGGCAGTGGCACACCTTACCCTTCAGATGTTTGGGAGCTGAGTGCTCGAAGTATTTCAGTATGCCCTGCCCTCTGACATTCACCTTTAGCTCCCCAGTACTCGAGCCCTGGCAGCAGGCAGGGTAACACAAATAGCTACGGGTGGCACAGCAGTTGCAGTTGCAAGTACTTGTAAATAAACCGGAGAGAGGAAGGAACAGTATTTCCTAAAACTCATAGAACAAACATGCTGATTTTAGAGGGGAGTCGTTTTCTTGGATACCACCTGAAGTTAAATTTGCATTTGGTCCCACCCCCAAACACTTAGGTACTGCAGACTAACTCCTCTAACAGCACCAAGGAATACTCCATTTTTCTGAAGCGCCCCTGTCATCTTCTGAACCGTCATGTCCGTTTAAATCCCTGGCTCAGGGAGTATTGAATGCTCTTTCTGCTGCCTCACAGCACAGTGTGCAGGCTGTGAGGTACCTCCAGTCACCCAGCAGGTGTGAGACAGCAATTACTGTGGCACAAACAACTGTAGGAGTTAAATGCACTGAGCTCATTGTTCTAATTTACATGACAGCAGAGAACACCTTGGTGTCCATCAATTGGTTCAATTTGGAGTAAAATCTGGGGATATATAATGCAGTCAATGCTAACAGTGATGATGATGATGTACATGTTATCCTCATATGTTGCAGTGCATCCAGCAGTATCTCTAAGATGTTTTCACTGTGATTTGAAAATAACAGGCGTGCTTTTCTAATCAATATAGTTATTGTTCTTAAATCATGCTGTAGCGTTTTAGCTTCTCATATCTGAAAGTGTTCACCTCTAGCATTTGTTATCTGAGCCCACTGTCATGTCTGTAAAGGAAAGCTGAAAATTAATCATATCTGGTGTCAGCTCAGAAGCTGTGATATAGCAGTTAATAGCAAAAAAAACCTTCAAATGTTTATACTTCATATTCAGAGTTGGAGATGAAGCTCTTCATTGTATCTGTTATTCCTGAAGAGTCGGCACAGGATGTTTTTAGCACTTCATAGAAAACTATCAGACACCTTCCAGATTTCTGGCTGTGCTGGCTGATCTGTAAATATAGCTGGAGGTGGTACAGAAGAGCCTTTGAAGGTAGAGCTGGTAAAACGCCAGAGACACAGCTTCTACACTAAATGTCCAATAGCCCCTGGATTGTTTCTTTACTTTTGAGGCAATGTTCACATTTTCATCTTTGTTCTCACCCCAGCTTAGTTCAGTTTGCCTTGCAGATCATCTCCCTGCTTGCTCTGGGTAATGTGCCAAGTGCTCAGCCCAAGATTAAGTTACAGCCAGAGCTGCTGGACATGAAGGTGCTGTAACTGTAGATGTCTGTGCTTATGTTTCAGCCTTGCTGCGACTGAATTCAAAAATCTGAACAGGAAACCTTGGTGGCAGAGTTTAACAAAATAGGCTTTAAGCTTGTATTGCAGTTTAATTGATAATTCTTTTTAATACTTTGAACTTCTGATTATTCTGATTTTTTTTAATAAACATTGAGGTAAAGATAGTGAAGCTGGCAGATTTTCTCATGAAGTGGTGGAGACTCTGAGGCTTCAGAAGGTATGATGGGTCAGTTGACAAGTAATGACTAGCTCAAGAACTATCCCAGTTCTTAAAAGCACGTGAAAATAATCTGAACTGTTAACATATGTAAAATCATTTCAGCTGCTGTTAGAGTTGACTGCAAATATTAGGAAGCAGAAACAGCAGAAGAAGTGAAAAAGCTTCCCTTCTTCTTTCCTCTTGTTCTTTAAAATGTGTTGTGAGAAACTTGAAGTGATAAGCATTTTAAGTTACAAAAGTGGTGGTGTTTGCTTCCTGTGTTTTATTATAAATCTGTTGTAGTTCTTTTAACCTACATATCTAACTGGACACTTTGCATTAAGGATTGAACTTTCTAATTTTAACATCTGATGCTAAATTTTTGACTCTTTAGAGTTGCCATCCCAAGCAACTTTTTTTGAACTTGTTCATTTCTTAATATTTTCAAGGTTCAAAGCATATTTTTAACATATCAAGCAGTTGTATTTTCCAAAGTTCATCTTTTGGAAAATTTGTGTTGTTTCTTGTAGAAAACAGAGTTTGACACAAGCACTAGTACTTGATCTCCAGAAATGTCGTTAGGGCTCCATGATGTACAAGTCCAGACCTCCAGCCTCCTGCTCTACCCAAAAGTTAAAAATAATCAATTCATTACAGTTTGGATGAAAATGTTAGTGGATCTAAAGAAAGGAGATGTTTTTTAAAGATCCAGTCAGATGGGGATGATGATGATGTGATGATATTCTAAAGAAATAGATTAAACTACATACTAACAGCAACTGTTTTACTGTATTTTTGATGCAGATCACCAGAAACTGGAAAGAGAAGCCAGGATCTGTCGCCTCCTGAAGCATCCTAATATCGGTAGGAACATTTCATTGATTTGTACAGTGTTTATCAGGTTAGAAAATATAGGGGAAATGGAAATTAACAAATACCAAAGAGCAGCTCAGAAATCAAGTGAAAATATCTCCAGGCAAGAATCTTCCTTTATAATGTGGTGCTCCTTACGAATTCTGCTATGGGATGCAATAATCTGATGGATCACCCAGAGCAGCGTGCAGTGTTCTCATCTTTGAGCCGTTGCTCTGCCATCAATGAACTCTGTGCCAGGTATCTGGGGAGTTTTGAGCAGTGTGTAGGAGGGACTGTTTCCAGGATTGTTCATGATTTTCAGAGACCTGCAGAACAATTTCAGCTGGCAGTGTCTCTTGCACAATGAGACAGACCAATGTCAATAATTAGTGCTGGTTTTAGTGAGATGCTTATTTTATACTGTGTTTTGTGTTTGAGATTCTGTCCTTCTAAAATGAAGAAAGCTCTGCTCCTTTTATTTCCAGTCATGTTTTCTAACCATGTGAAGCAAAAAATAAAGTTATTTTGGAGGGTGGGGTGTGTCTGTCTCCTTGCTTTAGAAACAGTGTAAACAGGTAAGTAGCTTGATCTTCAGACAACTGTCGCTGTGTTTTTCAGTTTTCCATGCACTGAATTATATGCCAAGGGTGTCTCTCACAAGAATATTTGCTATACCTGAGACTTTTGTAGAAGGGTGGGAATTACCTGTCCATTAGGGTGTTTTCAGACTACTAAAATTGTCTGATGCCTTGAATGAAATCAGCTCCTTCTTTTTAATGATAAAGTGAAAGTGAAAGCAAGTATAGCGCAACTCAAAACGACATGTCAAATTTCTGCAGCATCTCTCTTAAGCTTACAGGTTTGACCTAGAAATTTGGTTAAGAAGGAAGAGAACTGTTATCTGTGCTGTTTTATCCCACCAAAGGTTTTGCATTGTAAAGTGGTGAGAAATAAGGGAACGTACAAGTCCTTTTAGGGAGGAGGTGCAGCCCTTCTGCAGCTGTGGTTACACATATGGTGTAGTCAGACTCCAGAGCCATTCACCTGGCCCGTACTGGAACCAGAACATATTCTTGAGCTTCCACAAGCCAGGCAAAACAAACCAAATGCAGCAGTGAACTGATGTAGGGGAAGGGCTGAAATGCACAGAACTCAGCTGAAACAAAAGTCTAAATTGGTTCCATGTGGTCACAAGTCTCTAGCAGCTGAACGCCACATGCACAGTTTGTATCTGTGAGCTTTGGCTTGGAGTGCAAACAGGCAGTGACAGCTTTGGTGACAGGCAGGTAGAGCTCTGCAAGTCTGCACAAACTGTGCATCACCACCTGCACCAAAGTGCACAGTTTAAGGGATAATGGACCAAGAGTTCTGCTCCTGTTTCAGAAAACCTGCCATGTTCTGGATCTGTCTGAGAGAAGGTTTTTGTGACCTGGAATTGGCATGCTAGGGTTTGGCAGCAGGCGTCATTTCTGTCATATCCCTTCTCCGGCAGCCATGCCCTCAGCCAGCTAAATGACGACCCTAAAATCATTCCAAGTGCTGCCAGCACCCTGCTGGAGCTCTTATGCTTGGGTCACTATCACATCCCCTTTTAAACTGTCATCTCTGGTGAGTAATGGAGCTGCACCACACCGAGAAGCACTAAGAGTGAAAAAGGAAGTGTGCCAGAGGAAGGGAGCTCAGCTCTGACAAAAAGTAAGTTAAGAAAAATAAGAAAAAAATGGTAGCTGTTTTTTTTCAGTGGGATTTCTGTAGGAAAGCAGAGATCTAGTTTGAGAAACCACCCAACCAATTAAAGATGACCATGTACAGGCAGTTATTTTTGGAAAGCTAAGTATTGTTGAAGAAAGGCCAAATGTTAAATGATTCTGTTTCTATGCAGTCCTTACTGTTCACCTTCATAGCCAAGAGGTGTCACAGAAATCTTCCTTGAAGAAGTTTTCACTTTTTTTACAGGCAGAGCTCCAGTACATCTCTGCAAGTTGAGATTTTCTGTGCAGACACCGCTTTGCACATAACTAATTCAGTTCATTTTTCAGCATCTCTTTCTTTTATTCATCCTTTTAAGAAATGTATTATTTCTTCTCTGTCCAGCCTTGTAGTTATGATGCCTAATGAGTGGTGTCAGAAAAATAAGGCAAGTGGATTACAGTGTTTTCTGTTCTCTTTTTTCAAATCTCCATTTCCCACTTAAGTAATGTATGTGTGAAAGTTTGTTTAAAAGAATTTCCTCATTGTTTCCAGTTGCACCTCACCAATACTCCTTGTTCTGATTTCTGCCTCTTCTGACCTCAGTGCTTTGTATTGCTGCAGTAGAAAGCGAGCCCTGCTGAATTTGTCTGGGAATTAAAATGAGGCAAAAGCCATTAGTTAAATTTGCAGGCCTTGAGAACAAACTTTGAGGGGGCTCAGAATCCTTTCTTCCCTGTCAGTCTTTGGCAATACTGGCATTTTCTCCTCTTCCAGCTATGCTGGAGTAATTTGACCTCTCCTACCCTGCACGAGGAAATTTCTGGGCAAACACAGCTCATGTTCCTGTGTTAACAGCTCCTGGGCTGCAGGAGTTTGTGCATTAGTGTGACTTTCAGGATTGCCATGTTTCTCAGGTTCTTACTGTGGTGACATGGCTGTACATCAGTATGTAGAGGGTTGCTTTTTTACAGAGTTTAAAATGGATGGAAATGTAGGTTAAGCCTTGCTGTTCGGAGAATCTAGTGCTTTTTCTTTGTGAGATTTCACATCAGGTTACATTAAAAGCTTACCTCCTTTGCTGAGCACATACCCACACAGAATTTGTCATCTTGGGTAACTATTACCTTTCCAGCAGTTCCATGTGTACTAATGCTCCCAATTTTTTTAATTTGGAAGTTTGAAAAGAAAACTGCTAAGTAACCATCTCTCCACCGAGAAATCGGTTGTCATTTTCCTGATTTCTCACCTTTATCTTCTTTTGGTAATCTTTGATTTCTTGGTTCTTTTAACTTTGGGTAAAGTTAGTTTTAGCACTCTAATTTCTAGTCTTGCAATCGACATATTTTTGGTGGTGTAACACTGTTGCACCATCTTGTTACAACGTTTGGCATTGATTTACAACTGCTTTGCTAATTTTGGTTTATGAGATCCCAAATAATGGGATTAGCCTGATGGTACAAGCTCCGACCCATGCTGGAAAACTGCTGATTCAAACCTGGTAAAACCATGGAGGTTTTTTCCCAAGTGGAGTTTGCTCTTGCAGGGTTTGTGCTGCATTTGAGTAGTATTTTCCTAATGGGAGTTAGACTGTGAAGATCTCTCTGTAACTACTGGAGCGGCTTCTGCTGGCTTTGCATTCTCACTTGCTTACAGCCCATCATTCCCTGCCTCTGCCACCTCCTCCCAGGCCTTCCAGACAGTGTACAAGCTATGGCAGGCAGGCAGGGTCCATTAGCCAGCAACATCAGGCTCAAGTCTGTCTCTGATCAATCTTCAGCCCTTCCCCAAAGGCAGCAGCAGCAGATTTTACTGACATGTGGCAGCCCTTCAGGTGATAAATGAAGTCCTTTTGGCACAAGGCCTGGCTGTCCCTGAATGGCTCTGTAAGTCAGGGTATTTAGACGTAAGTAGGACTGCCAGTCAGAGATGGGGCCCATTCCTGCGGATCTGCTGGTTCAGCCACGCTGAGGCATCACCACAAGTGTGCTCTGACAGCAGGATGGGCTCTGCTCCTTGAACAACTGGAGCTGCACCAGCAGATGGGAGCATGGGGCAGCGTCTTCCCAAGGCAGGCTGGTGTTGCAGCAGGCCAAGAGGCAGCCTAGATTCAGAAGAGATTGGCACACAGGAAAAAAGACAATTCCCTCCTCTGGTTTCATGAGTGTGTTGGTGTCCAACATGGTGTCCACTTGGAGTCTGCTCCTTTCCATGCTTTGAGCTGGGAACTTATCATCAATGGCTCAGGAAATTGGTATCACCCCTACTTGGCACTGCTCCTCACCACACTCTGTGCTGGCTGTCCTTTTGCCACAAGTAGGAAAAGCCTGCCTTTTGGGGTCACTTCCTCTCCCCACCGTAACACAAAGCATGAGCATTGAAGTGGTTAAATTCCTCACGTGGGGGAAAATAAGAAACTGCATATTGCCTTGTCATTTTTGAACAGAGGATAATTCAGGATATGTAAGGGGGGGTGTGACTTTATGCACAACATGTCCTTTATGTTTGTATTCGCCAAGCATGCATAAAGTCCCAAGAATCTTCTCAAGAGAAACACTATTAATGTATAGAAAATGTGGATGCAGTAACTCCTTTCTGTATTTCTTTTGTCTTAGTGTGGCACAGTTGTGAGTAGCTCAGCTGGTATTAGTTAAGTTACTCTCTAAACCAAACACAGGGTAAAAATCAGGCGTGTTCAAGTTGAGCAGATGTAGTTCCTGAGCACACTTATTTCTCTAAGCTTAATTTAAGGTTTTACTTCATGTCAAAAATACATAGTTCATTTCTGATGCAGTGAAAATCAAACCAATCCCCAGCTATATAAATCTATGCTCAATAAGTATGGTCCCCAGGGATGTATTAACTATAGCTGTGCAACTAAATAAATAGAACTTTTTCTATAAATATAAAGCTCTAGTTTACATGGGACTGATGCATTAGAGAATCTCACTTCCTTTAATTATTTTTATTGCTTAGATGAGCTGATCACTTCAACAATTTTATATCTCATCCATTCTGTTGAATTAATTAAATTTGCAATTTCCGTGATGCAGAAGGTGAACCATTTATTCCTTGAGAGGATTAAAATAAAATATCAAGAAACCAAATAAACCAGTGATATGACATGATTTCATAGTTAATGTAAGAGCCAATTTCATGAGTATTTTAAAATATCAGATTTGAATATTTAAAGTCAGCCATGGCTACAGCAAGTAACTGACTAGTGGAGTGCAACAACAGAATACAGAAGCTGGTTTTGCAGTTGCTATTTGTGAAATTAAATGTACTGGAACGAGACTGCACCAGGCAAGAGCACACAG